TATTTGCTTTAAAATAAAAGTGATATATTTTAAGTTAAAGTCCTTCATTTATCACTGTATATAAATTCTCTATGCTTACAATTGAGTGCCTCTATGCTGTGGCTTTGTCTGAATTTATCTTCTAAGTGATTCATGAACATCCTGCTCTCCTACTGATTGATGTTCATTGATGGAACCAGAAGTAGGATGGGAGAACGTCTGGAACAAAGGGAACAAAAGAAACTGCTTAAGGCAAAAGTCAGCTCACAGCACCTGATAGGGAGATCAGAGCATGAAATAGAAGATGTGAAATTGTAACAGCATGCAAAGTTTTCACTTGGAGAGAACAAATATTTTTACATAAAATATTTCTGTACATAAAAGAAAATATAAATGAGGACCAATTAAAACTTGACAGAGGCTAACAGTTCAAAGATGTGGAAAGTTAAAAAAGATGTTTTGTTTTACTCTTAAAGAAGAATAAATAGTTGACCAAGCTGCTGCTAATTAACTACTTTCCTTGAATTTATCAGAGAACTAAGAGTATTAAGGAAAACAATTAACCTGAAATATAACATTTATCTATGTTACATAAATCAACAGTTCATAACTTTTCATTGCTGAGTAGTTTGTCATGGATATTCCAGGAGTTTACAGAAACCTGGGTTGCTCCCAGTTTGGGGTAATTATGAACAAAGTTTGTTGTACAAATTGATATACAACATTTACAATCAGCCTGTCTGCATTTGCTTGCATGGTTTTGATTTGGATTATATATTAAATATATGATTCTAATTATAAGACATCAACAGCCTAGCTATACTGAGTTTTTCAAACTATGAATACAGTGTATCTCTCCATTTATTCAAATCTTTGACTTCTTTAATCAACATTTTTGGTGCTATAATAAATTGTTATCTGTCTATACATTTATATGTGTATTTATTTATATTTCAGTTTTAGTTTCCAATTGTTCATTGCTGTCACATAAGAACTTGATTGACTTTTGTATATTGGCCTTATATCCTGTGACATTGCTTTACTTGCATCTTGGTTCTTAAAGATTTAGGTAGATTTAATGGAATTTTCCACCTATATAATTACTTGGTATATGAATAGGGAGTAAATCACTCAAAAGTTCTGTTATGTTGAATTTAGTTTTACCCATTATGGTCATTCTAGAATGATTCTAATCAAATATATAATTAAAACTGGAAGTTCTTCTTTCTGTAACCCCTGAGTATATTAATCCAAACATACACTTCTGTTATTTTTCTCTTCAAAATATTCAGTTTACTTCAAAAACCTGTTGCTCTACTTTGTGTAACTACATTATTTTAATGTATATCTTATTGAAAAGATAATGTGAAGATTGTATGCAGAACTCAGATAGCAAACATCTCGGAGTCAAATTGGACTCTTTTTGGTAGTAGAGATGCAACAACAATAATAATAGACTACATTAGTCTGCATAATTTTCACAGTAACCCTATGGATAGATATTTTTGTTAACACTTTGTAGATAAAGAGACTTAGACTTAGGCTTAAAGAAGTTTCCAGATTTGCCCATGGCTTCTCAGGTGTACACAGTGTACCTGGCATTTATACCCAGATCTCTCATATCAAATGCTTTGTTTTTAAACACCACACTAGCTTATAAATTTTACTGTATGAAATGAGAAGTGATTGCAATATGATTTGTAATAATTAAATTAGTACTAAGCATAACAAATAAATGCATAAATGAAGAAAATGTTGGTTTTATTTCTCAATTGCTTATCTATATACCTATACTTTTATGCTTTATTCTTATGGATTTGATCGGTTTTTCAACTTTTAGGCTAATAACATGACACAAGGAATAACTTTCACTTAATCACTGAGTTTTGTGAAATATTATCTTCTAATTGTTAGATCCTATAAATGTTTTACAATTCTGTTTTTCAAATATATTTTTACTTTCTAGTGATAATTTAAATTTCACACAATGAGACAAAGCAGTTAAAATGACATCTACATAATGAAAGAATTTTCATTTTAAAAGAGAAAAAATCAATTGAAGTGACTACCTTTATGTTCTTAAGATACTTCATAGCTTCTAGAAATCAAAGACTATCTGATAGCACAATTACTAATTAACTTAGAAACCTAGGAAGAACCATTTATGCAAACTACTATCAGGGTTATGACTTTTAACAGTTGCATGTTGAACAGAAGATTGTTCAATACTGATAGGCTGGTGAGGGTGCAATAAAACTTTATGAATAGGGCAATATATACCTGAGCAGTTTTCTCTGATCATTATTCTGGCAGTCATACCCAACTCTCATACAACTTAGCAAACAGAACAGGCTATGAAATAAGGTAAGTCTATGGATATATTTTTTGTAATTTTTATGTTTTCAAGTAATTGTGTTTTTTCTTAATTCATTTTAGCAATGCTCCCATCTATCTGCACTGGTTTACAATACCAAAATTATGTTTTAACTAAGAATGTACTAAAATAGGAAAACATTTTTTAAAATTATGAAAACTTTTTGCCCAGCATTATTTTATAATTTCTGTAAACTTTAGTGGAAATCATAGCAAATTTTGTTTAATTCCTCATTATAGAAGAAAATAAAGATTGAAAAATACTTTTAAAAATAAAGCAATACTCTAAGTCCACTTAAATATATTTTAAGAAAATCTATATTGGCAGAGTAGAAAGCTACAGTTATAAAACATTTTTCCTAACAGATCTCTTAAAGATCATTTGTCAAGCTATCATATGAAAGTATTATTCACTTTTATCATAAAGTATGTTTCATTTTTATAATAAATATGCAAAGTGTATCACTATATAATTTCCAAAAAATTGCTTAAGATGACTGTGATCCAAAATATGATCACTGTAATTATCACCTACAGCTTAGAAACAATTTTAGTGCTGATTGTTTTTGAGTACTCATAAGAATAATTTAATTTTGGTACATTAATTTTGTGCTAATTTTTCTAGATAAAAGGGAATTTGTTTCCAATAAGTATTTTTAAGACTTCCCTTAGCAAAATGAAAAGTATAATTCTAGTTATTAGTTTCTTGCTGCCAAAATGGGTATTGCTTCAAATGAGACGTATACTTATTAAAAGTTGAACATTAATTGTGACCCTGTGATTTCTCACATAACATTGTTTTGTTTTTTCAAACTTCTTTATATGTTACCTGTTGCTTTAAGCTTAGTATACATTCAGTTTCTTTGACGATGTAAGATTAAATGGCTTACACATCTGTAATAGAAAATTATATGATAAAAGTTGAATACTAATCTTCAGACATTTATTTATTTATAAAATATATGAAAAAATTAACCTTGTGCTTACTAAATATTAGTCTCTGAACTACTTTCGTGATTCTTGCTGTTAAGAGTATAGCGCCGGGCTCGGTGGCTCAGCCTGTAATCCCGCGCCTTTGGGAGGCTGAGGTGAGTGAATTGCCTGAGACGGCGGGTTCGAGACCCGCCTGGGCAGCGAGACCTCATCTCTACAATAAATTAAAAAAAAATCAGCCGGGCATGATAGCGCATGCCTGTAATTCTGGCTACTTGGAAGGCTGAGGCGGAAGGATCGCCGGAGCCCAGCAGGTCGAGGCTGCGGTGGCCGGGAGCGGCCACTGCACTCCAGTCTGGGCGACAGAGTGAGACTCCAACTCAAAAAAAAAAAAAGAGTATAGCAGTATAATTAAGGAAACTGACATATGCATGAATAATTTCACTAGACGTGTTGTGTGCTATCGTAAAATTGAGAAAAGATAGAAGGACTTTGTCTAGAAGAGTAGGAATTAACACATGAAGGCCATGATGTATGAACTCGGCATAAATTGGATCTCACCCAGAAAAGTAGATGGGGAATGAGATTGAAAGAAGATTGAATCGCAGGTATGAAGGAGATATGTTATCCAAAGCAATGTTGCAATGCGGAAGACAGTATAAAAGTATAATTCTAAAAATATTTTGGAAGCAAAATTAATAAGAATTATTGAATATTTGAATGTGGTAGAAAAATATTGAAGACTAAAAAGAGGTTTTTAGATGGGGACAGCTAGTTATATGAACTGATATATAGTCATAGAAGGAGGGAACAGTGTGAGACCCACGTAAATTAAAAGATAAATTATAGAAATTCTAAATTCTACCTTACTATATGCTGTTTAATTAAGATTTATATAAAAATCATGGAATACAGAAAATTTATGGAAACTTGAAAACTAGGAAAAAATGAGAGATATGTGTTGTAAACTAATCAAATTAAATATCTATGCTTTAAGATAATCATTGGGGATGGCTTCTTTCCAGTCTACATTTAGGTGCACTTGGCATGCTAACTCAAATGCATAGTGTTACCTAAAAATAGATATTTTTTTTTGATATGAGAGTTTGGCATATTTTACTTGCTGTTTTATGGAGGAAGTTGCTGACAATATAATTCAAAAGTTTTTTAAACAGAGCAACAACTCCCAAGTACATACTATTCTTTCAAATACAGATATTTATGTTCTTTTCAACAATATTGTTGCAGAAAGTAGTGTTGGAATCAGAGAGACGAGAGTTCAAGTAAGACCTGATTTTTTAAAAATTTTGAGATGGAACTTATTCTATCTTAAGCTTGAAATTCCTAATCAGTAATATGTGAACAACTGCATATTCTCCATAGAATCTTGCAGAATGCTCTAAATGAGAAGGCAAGACACACCTGCTTGAAGATGTTTTTGTTCCTTTATATTTCTTTTTTGTTCTATTAAAAAAATATTTTCACCTTAGTGCACTACTGCAATGTGCATCACTCATTCATTACTTTTACTTAAAGTTGCATGTGTTGCTTGCATTTTGTCAGAGAATATTACGTCAGGCTATTAACTGATAGTGCTGTTTGCAGCTGTTTGCATTGCATCTAGATAAAAAAAGATATAATTTCTTGATAATTGATGGTATCTTGTAATAATTATATGTTTAAACTTCTAAACACATATTCTTGTCTCTTTTTAGATGGCAAGAAAGAAATTTAGTGGATTAGAAATCTCTCTGATTGTCCTTTTTGTTATCGTTACTGTAATAGCAATTGCCCTTGTTGTTGTTTTAGCAACTAAGACACCTGCTGTTCAAGGTAAGTCTTATTTAAAATATATCTATATAATGGTAAGGTTAAGAGAGAGTTACTCCACAATCAGTGTGGATTTTAAAAAATAATCTATGCAAGATGAAATACACCTAGAAAGATCTAGGGTAAGTTACACAATTACACAATTTTTTTTATTCGTTATGTTCCATTAATTTCAATGAAGAGCTATTGTAATTACGGAATCCGTGTACTTTGACAGAAATTCCCTTTCCTACTTATGTTCCTTAAGAAAGAGCACAGAGGCAAAGGGATCAAGTTGTTAATGCAAGGCGAAATAATCACCTACTGTTGCCATTAAGAGTCTTCTCACTAGTGAGAAAACCTGGGTTTTTGCTCTGGCCTTCAGACATTGGTCAAAGAGATGGGAATATTGGTGAATAATTTTCATCCTGGCTCAATCTTTTCTTTTTTTTTCTTTAGGAGAGAAAGGTTGTATGAGAAACACAGAGAGAAAGTGAAAAAATGCTGGAGGCATTTAATTATCTTTTTCTGAATATATTTTTCCTAATTTAGAGTTGATGTATACAACTCTGGACTGCTGAATCTCTCTCTTCACCAATCTCTCTTGACCAAATCAGAATTGTGAAGAATTTAACACATTAGCTTTTAGATGAACTGTAGGCAGTATATCCTATTTTTGTCAGTCTTTTGTTTTCCCTTCTTCCAGTAACTGAGATATCACTGTGTTGTGAAGCAATGGATTTTACTTAGCCATATCCAATTGCTGGAATGTTCTTTTTTTATATAAAATTGAGTCTGTTTTTCTTTGCTATTCCAGTTTTTTCTATCTATCAAGTTATTCCTTCAAAATTCCTTCTTCTATTTTTCTCTTTTCTAATTTCTTGTCTACTTCTTTAATCTTTTCTTTTTTTTTTTCTATAAACTGTAAGTAGAAAACTTGATGTGAATGTGTATTTTGTCTCCTTTTGAGTCTACACCATGACCTTCTCTGGATATATTTTGTTTTCTGAAGAAATGGTCAACAGGGTTCCACTCTGTCAAGTTTTAAGTATTATTTGGAACTTACCTTTTGATGATTAGAGTTTGAATTCATGGGTCTTTTTTTAATGTAAAATTATTTTTTTATTTTCGTTATATATGAATTCATGTATTCTTTTATAAAGTATTCATCACCTGAAAAATTAATTTAATATCATTTTATTTTATTGAGTTTTTTCCCCTTCCAGAAATTAGCGATTCTACAACTCCAGCTACCACTCGTACAACTGCATATCCCTCTGGTTCAGGAAAATGCCCAAATGAGCCAAATGACCAGATTAATGAGAGAATAAACTGCATTCCAGGACAGTTTCCAACCCAGGTCTGCAACAAAATTCCTTAATATTTTTAATAAATATGTTAATCATTATATTAAGGTAATTGCTCAATATTGGAACAATCCCATATTATTGAAGATCTAGACATAAATTTGGGTGCATTTATCTTTTTATTGTAACTCTTTATAAACAAATGCTTGATATTGAAGTTACTGAACTTGCTTTTCTGAACCTCCATTCAAATAAAATTATCAAGTTAATATTCATCTATGCTTTGCAAGATATTGTAATTTTATAAACCTTCCTGAAATTCTATCCTCTCAAATCTACTTTTTGGGGAAAAAAAAGTGCCTTTGATAATCCAGAACTTTTGTGAGAGACTATCTATGCTCCATTAGAGAATATGTAGTGACGGCATTAAATACTACCTTTTCCATTGCCCATACCATACATAAAATTAGTACATGAACCATAAAATTTTTATCCCTATCCTGCCTTTGCTATATCATAGTTAATATATAATTTTTTTATTAATTTGCTATGAAAAATTGCATATAGCTGAGATTTTTTTTAAGGGTAACATTAGAAATAGCAAGTTCTTACCCACTAATAAAAGAATGATGTACATAGCATTTACTGGGAAACACTAAAAAAAGTGGACAGATGCCAGCTATTCTCTTTAGTTAACATTCTAAACACTCATTTTTTTTTTTTTGTTATTTACCCATTAGGAAGGAAAAAGAGCAATGAAGAAAATTTAGGGTAACATTTAATTCATGTGATTCTAAAAGTTGACTCTTCCTTTTCCGTTATAAGCCTATCTGGGCATAAAAGTCCATTAGTCTCTATATGTATATAGTACTCCCTCAGTATCCAAGGAGATTGGTTCCAGGATCCCTTGCAGTCATACAAATCTGCAGATGCTCAAGTCTCTGGTATAAAATGGTGTAGTGTTTGCATATAACTTACACATATTCTCCCGTGTACTTTAAATTACTTATAGATTACTTAAAAATCCAATACAATATAAATATTATAAAATAGTTGTTATACTATATCATTTTTAGTTACTTTCTAATGGTTGAAATGTTATTTTTTATTTTTTCAAATATTTTTGATGCACACTTTGTTATATCCATAAATGCTGAGGTCCTACTGTATATATTGACATTTTACAAGCATTTGCAAATATGAATTTCTAAATCTCATCTTTTCCATTGCCCATACCACACATAAATTAGTACATGAACTATAAAACTTTTATTACATTCTGCCTTTGCTATATCATAGGTAACATACAATTTTTTAATTAATTTGCTATGAAAAATTGCATATAGTTGAGTTTGTTTAAGAGTAACATTAGAAATAGCAGGTTCTTACCCACTAATACAAGAACATAGTATTTACTATTTTGTTTTACATAGTATTCACTATGTTTTTTTTCATAGTATTTACTTTTTTTACATAGTATTTTTAAAGTAGTATTTACTATGTATTTACTAATACAAGAACATAGTGTTTACTGTGACACACTAAAAAAAGTGGACAGCTGCCAGCTATTCTCTCTTTTTTTTTTTTTTGAATTGGGAGTCTCACTCTGTCGCCCAGACTGGAGTGCAGTGGCCGCTCCCGGCCACCGCAGCCTCGACCTGCTGGGCTCCGGCGATCCTTCCGCCTCAGCCTTCCGAGGAGCCGGAATTACAGGCATGCGCTACCATGCCCAGCTGATTTTTTTATTTATTGTAGAGATGAGGTCTCACTGCCCAGGCAGGTCTCGAACCCGCGGACTCAGGCAATCCACTCACCTCAGCCTCCCAAAGGCACAGGATTACAGGTTGAGCCACTGAATCCGGCTAGCTATTCTCTTTAATTAACATTTTCCTTAAGAAATGATTGAAGCTTAACATAGAATTCTATTAGGAGCAATGTATGCTGTGAGAATCTTATAGGAAAACATTTAAAAGCCAATAGGGTTTTGATGTGTACTATTAGTCTTTATTGTCAACCTAAACTGCTAGGTTGCTAAAGAATGTTTTCAATGTGAAATGAATTAAGCTTATGAGTTAAACCAGTAGGACTTCAGCCAATATATGTCTGTTCATCATTTAAGAAGGAAATGAACTTTTTATTTTAAAAGTTTAATTTACTGTATCTTAAATAAATTGAAATTTTTTAAACATTTCTAACTTTTAAAAAGTGAAATTTAACAAAATGATTTTAAAGAGATTCTAATTTTAAATGAATTTTCACTTATAAAGTTTTTGACATATTGAAATGTAAAAAGTTTTTAAAGGTGAAATGAATATTTCAGGGTCCCTTTGCTAGTTTAGAGGTAAAGCTGACTTTGAACTGTGGTATGCAAAGTTCAATGTGAGCTCATGTTTTGTGAATTCAGTAGTCACTGTTCATTAATTAAAATCTTACAATTTTTGCTAAGTGAATGAATTTACAAGGTGGTATTTATAGTAGGAGATGGATTTTTAAAATAAATAATGAATGAATGAAAAAATAAAATCTAACTGAAATTAGAAAAGAGTCTATACATTTTTCTCCTTTTCTTTTTTTAGGAGATGTTGCAATTAAGTTGATTAAAGTTGAATTAGGTCAAAATGATGATTTTCTAAACATTTGCCTAAGTTTTCAAAAAAATTCTAGTTTTGATATTTATGAAGAGGATGGTGATTGTAAAATATTTGAAAAAATTGGTTTTATAAAATTATTGCATACATAATTTACTTTTTATTTAGCAAAGACATGAATACTTATTGCACAATGATGAGAAAATATACAACAGTCAAAATGGTAATTTTAAAAACTGCCTTATACCACCTAGAGTGTATTGGTCAACTCAGACTATCATAGCAGAATACCACAGAATGGGTGTCTTCTACAATGATATTTATTTTTTCTCAATTCTGGAGGCTAGAAGTCCAAGATCAAGGTCCCTTCAGCTTTTTAGTAATCCTTCTCTTCTGGCCTGTAGACAACTGCCTTCTTCACTGTGTCCTCACATAGTATTTCCTCTGTGTTTACAAGCAGTGAGATTTGGGTTGTCTCCTCTTCCTCTTACAGGGACACAAGTCCTATTGGATTAGGGCTCTGCTCTTAAGATAAGTCACACTGGGGGTTAGAGCTTCAACATATGAATTTGGATAGAACAACTTAGTGTATAGAGTTATCTATATATTATAAACTATATATTATCAAATGTAGAATTATTACACATACTATGATATTAATGCATAATTCTATACACACATTTATACACACATGTAACAACAATAAGACTATAACACATTTATTGCATTTTTATCTACCAGAATTGAGTGAAACTATGCATATTGATGGATAATTGATGCATCTCAATTCTTTTTTTTTTTTTTTTTTGAGTTGGAGTCTCACTCCGTCGCCCAGACTGGAGTGCAGTGGCTGCTCCCAGCCACCTCAGCCTCGACCTGCTGGGCTCTGGCGATCCTTCCGCCTCAGCCTTCCGAGTAGCCGGAACTACAGGCGCATGCTACCACACCCCACTGATTTTTTGATTTGTTGTAGAGATGAGCTCTTGCCAAGTTGCCCAGGCAGGTCTCGAACCCGCGAGCTCAGGCAATCCACTCACCTCAGCCTCCCAAAGTGCGGGATTACAGGCTGAGCCACAGAGCCTGGCAGCTTTTTATCTTTTATTCCTGAGGAAGGAACAAAGATAAGACAAATATAAGTTTCAAGCTTTAAGATGGGGAGGGTCAATTTCTATGTTTATGTTTTTTAACTGCAACTATTAGTTCTATGGGGAAGCTGGGTCAGTTTCAATGATTTGAAAATGGATGTAGAACAGAAAAGGAAGTATACTAGTCAAAACAATTAGGAAGGAGAATAAGGTTGGGGGACATGTGATATCTGAAATCAAAACTTATTATTTAGCCATAATTTTATTTATGTGGTTTCAGTACAAGGAAACATAAATAGAGCAACTGAACAAAACAAAAAGTCCTAAAGTAGACCTACACTTGCATGTGGACATAGCATTTGATAAAGTCTGCATTGCAGATCCAAGAAAGAAAGCGCTTTTTAATAAATGGGGTCGAGACCATCATTTTTCTAGAAAGATAAAATAATAACATATCTTTTACCATACACACAAAATCAGTTATAGAAGAATTAAAAACCAAAACATGGACAGCAAAAAGTTAACTCTTAAAATTCCAAAACTACTGAATGTTGGTGAAAACATGGGGCATCTAAACATTGCTACAGGTGGTATAAATTGTCACAACCACTGTGGAGAACAATTTGACAATAAAAAGCAAATTTCCAAATGTGAATATTCCATAGTAGCAATTTGACCACTATCTAAGTACCCCAAGAGAACGTCTCCCTCTTGTCCACAGGGAGGTATGCATAAGATTGTTGCTAAAGTATTGTTTGTCATAGAAAGAAACAGAATATATCAATTGCAGTTTAGTCATACAGTGGAATACAGCAGTTTCATAGCTGTAATACTAGTATGATAGGGGACCCCAAAAAACCCGGAATTTATTTATTAAAAATTGTGTATTTATTCTTTTTTTTTTGAGTTGGAGTCTTACTCTGTCACCCAGACTGGAGAGCAGTGGCCGCTCCCGGCCACCGCAGCCTCGACTTTCTGGGCTCTGGCGATCCTTCCGCCTCAGCCTTCCAAGCAGCCGGAATTACAGGCATGCACTACCAAGCACGGCTGATTTTTTGATTTATTGTAGAGATGAGGTCTTGCTGCCCAGGCAGGTCTCGAACCCACAGGCTCAGGCAATTCACTCACCTCGGCCTCCCAAAGGCGTGGGATTACAGGTTGAGCCACCGAGCCCGGCTCATCAAAATTTTTTGTTTTGCTATATAAAGCAATAAAAACTTGAAGTTAGATGGAGAATTAAAAACAGTGGGAAAATGCTTAAAATCCTGGCACATAGGAAGGACAACTAGAAATAAAGAACAAGTATTAATATCTTCAAGGTAAACTACAATTACTGATATTTTTAAGCAAGGAGAGTATTCACTTTTCAGTTGATAGGTTGGTGTGTAATTGTAGTAGGTTGAGTAATGTTTTCCAAAAAATCATTCCCCCTAGAGTCAGAAAATGTGAATTTATTTGAAAGTAGAGTTTTGTAGATGTAATTAATCAGGATGAAGTCACACTGGGTTAAGGTGGGCCCTAAGTCTAAAGACAGTATCTTTATAAGAGGAGGGAACTACACACAGGACAGATAGGGAAGAAAACCATGTGAAGATGGAAGCAGATATTGACAGATGCATCTACAGCCAAAGAATGCCAAGGATTGCCAGAAGCTACATGAAGCTAGAAATTGGACAAGGGAAAATTCTTCCCTAATGCTTTCAGAGGTTGGAGTTAAGACTTCTAGCTTCCAGAACCATAAGGGAATAAATCTCTGTTGCTTTGTCCACCTTTTTCATGGTTGTTATGGAAGCCTTAGGAAACAAATATTATATTTTGAGGAATTTAATGCAAGTCTATTTTACAATTTTTTTATTTTATCAAAATGTGTTTTTAATGTGCTTATTTCTTTTTTGTTGTCTTAAAACTTAGCACCTTTATATCTTTCCAGATCATTACATCTATATCTAATCCTATCTCTTTGTTTTATAACAACTTTTTATAAAAAAGTATTTTATAAAAACTGCTGTAAATAATATTTCTTGTACAAAATTATCTCTTTGTATTGCTGGGAGCATTTCTGTAGGTTAGATAATTAGAGATAAAGTTACACAGAGTTTAGACTCTGACAAGTAATGACCTTTCAGAATGATAAGATCTGATTGTGTTCCTGTTCTCAGTGTTTATGCATATGTGTATGTGTGTATCTGATATCCTTTTAATTTGATGAGATAATAGGAGAAAGGTTAATGTATACTTTTTTCTGCTTAAAATGAAGGCTTTTGACTTATTTTAATGCCAAATGGCCAAGGGAGAAAAAATGCTACAGGTGTTCAAATTTTGAAAGTGTCACACTATTACTTTTAAATATTAAGTAGATTGATAATTATACCACTGTTATGTATACCAACCTTGTTACTCAATTTTTTATATAGCCATTTATAATTTTCTTCTGCTTCACATAATCTTTCCATATAATAATAAATTACTGATAATTCAGTTTTTTGCTTTATTCATTGAATGCAATTGTAGCGACTCCTTGTGTCACCTGGTACCTAAATAGTAAAATACTGAACTAATAAATAGTTGAAAATAACTGTCTTAAGAATTTTACATTGACTTGAATTCAGGGCCATATCTTCATCTTGTAGCTTAACTTCCAGCTTTATACTTAATTAGTATGAAATAAATATTTCAGTTCATCTGCATCAACACCATAAGGAAAGAATAAATTATAATTGTCCATATAGAAGGAACCTTAAAATACATGAGCTTCCGAAAATGTGTATTAATATCTGAATTTAACTATCACAACTCAGCGCAGAAATCTCTCATAAAGCATAATTAATTTGGTTTATCAAATATTAATATTTCTTCCAAGGAAAAGGAACCAAAGGACAAAGGCTATTTTGGTATACTATATATTTGAAAAAATAAACTTTTAAAAACATTTGCATATTGAAAAAATAGAGACTAGCATACCTGATAATGTACTAATCATATTAATCCTTTAAAAAATATTTCATCAGGCAACGTGTGCACAACGAGGCTGCTGCTGGCGTCCATGGAATGACTCTGTGATTCCTTGGTGTTTCTTCGTTGACAATCATGGCTACAGTGTTGAGACAATGACAACAACAAGTACTGGTGAGAAGTGCTCTATCATGATGATTCAAAATAATATATTCTAAGTGTAAAAGTAATGTGTTTTGCATTTTTCACAATATCTTAAATAGAATCAAATGAGAAGTATAAACACAAGAATGTTCAAGTTGGTTATATTAAGAATCTCCTGTTTGTATGACTTTTATCTAATTTTGAAAGCACCTACTATTTGTGATTTATGCGATAAAATTATACATGCATTAAAATATTTTATAATTAAGAATCTTTAGAAATAAAGTAATTTATGCTAGTTTTTTTTTTATTCTTTAAGGACATGAAGCCAAATTAAATAGGATACCTTCACCTACGCTATTTGGAAATGACATCAACAGTGTTCTCCTCACAACTCAAAATCAGACACCCAATCGTTTACGGTTCAAGGTTTGGTTTTTAAGATTTCCAAAGAAGATTTAATAATAAAAGACACCTTCTAAACACACTTTTTACCCTACAAATATACTTTTCATCTTGAGGAATATTTATTCCAAAGCAAAGGAATAATTGAATTCTACTTCTCTGAGCCTGTTTACTTAAGTATAACATGAGTATTAATAGTTCTTTCTGCACATATTTTTGTATAGTTTAAATAATGTAACTGATGTAAAATACTTGGCACAGTGTCTTGAAGAGACTAAACACTTAAACATTTGTAATTTTATTATTTATACTATAGGCTATAATAAAGGATTAGTTTAAAATTTAAGTTGAGTAAAGCGTTAATAGTGATGAATAAATGCAATTTACATTCACTACTTCTTTTTACCGGTTATCAATTGAATTCATGGTTTTTAAGAAACTAAATCCTACTTTTTTTAGTAAGTAGTTTAATAGTATGATTATTTTGGATTTGTAAGTAAAAACAACACCATATCTTTTGTATATTATCTTTATAGTTACAATTTTACAGCAACTAAAAAACATAATTAAAAATCCTTATGGAACTAACTAAAGGTGCAAACACTAAAAAACACTGAAAAAAACTAAATTTACAAAAGCCTAGTATTGAATAATCATTATTTGGTAATACTATCATTGAATTTTTGCATCAGTTAATCAAAATCTATACTTGAATCAAATAATGTTAATTTGTTTAAATCTTTGTAGATTACTGATCCCAATAATAGAAGATATGAAGTTCCCCATCAGTTTGTAAAAGAATTTCCTGGACCTGCAGCTTCTGAGACATTGTATGATGTGCACATTACAGAGAGCCCATTTAGCATCAAAGTTGTTAGGAAAAGCAATAACAAAATTTTGTAAGTAAGTTTCTTATTTTACATTATATAAGCTTACATAACTGGTCAGTTATATACATTGACCATAGTTTTATTCTATTACTGTGGAGTAGGAAAGCTTAATTTTAAGACATTTGTTCAGAAGGAATGCGTTTTCTACCAAAAGAGGGTAGGTGTATATCTTTGTAAAGATTATGTTGATAAAGGAGTTGGTTTCCTGCCTATGAAAGGTGTTAGAACATGAACTAGAACCCACAAATTGGGGTCAATTAAAGGTGAAGATAGAGAGTTTCACTGATATAATCATAGCCTATGTGTATCTTTGCATACCTAGAACTCCAGTTGTATCCTTCCCCCTTAATTATCATACTGCTTCTAACTTCTAGGATTAAGTAGTTACTATTTCGAGAGAGGTTAAGTCCCATGGTAATATTAAAATTATATATATTAAATTCAATATAGGTGGAATATCTTTCTTATGAATGTATTTGAGTGGTAGATATTGATACAAGGTATTTAGTAATTTCTTGTGAATATTTTCAAGATAAATATATTTGTATCTCCAAGAAATATTAATACAGCAATTGTCAGAATTCACTCTCAGTAATTAATTTTATTAAATAATTTTAAGACTTTTAAAATTGACTTTGTGTTAAATTATACAAATATTAAACTCTAAGTGAAATAAGTTAGGCACAGAAAGACAAACACTGCATGATATCACTTACATATGGAATTGAAAACATTAAAAAAATTTCTAGAAGCAGAAAGTAGAATGGAGGTTACCAGAGGCTAGGTAGGAGTTAGGGATAATGGGGAAATTGGTGAAAGTATCAGACAGGAAGAATACATTGTTGCGATATAGTACACAGCATGCTGACTGTCATCATGATAATTTAATGTGCACTTCAAAATTACTAAGACTACTACAGATTCTAAATATTTGCATCCCAATAAAAGTATGTGGACTGATGATATGTTAATCAAAACATCTCATCATACTCCATTAATAAAACTCTCCTTTGCTTTTAGAGGATTGGTTCTAAGATGTCTACAAATTCCAAAATCCATGGATGTTCAAGTCTTTTGTATAAGATTCTATAGTATTTATATATAACCTATACACATTCTCCTGTATACTTTGTTATCTCTAGATTACTTACAATGCCTACTGCAGTGTAAGTGCTGTGAAAATAGTTGTTAAACTGTATTATTTAGGGCATACAAACAAGAAAAAAGTCTGTACATGTTAGTACAGACACAATCATTCATTTTTTTTCTTTTGATGCTTTCCATCTTTTCAGTTCATAGTTGGTTGAGTTCACAAATGCAGAGCCCATAGGTATGAAGGATTCACTCAATTCGTCAATAAAAATAAAAACTGAAAATAGTAAATTAAATTTAACATGTCTTGTAGTATATATTTAGTCTGCACAAAATAAACAACTTTTTTTGTAAAGAAATTATTTTGAACTTAATTTTTACATAAATGCTAATTGTGTGGAAGCCAGCATAATACGCATTTTAAGACTCAGTCCCTGGAGCACGACAGAATTGGGTTTGAAACCTAGTCCTGCTGCCGACCAACTTGTGATCTTTGAAAACATGATTTAATTGTCCAATTTATGTTGTGTATGAAATAGAATTGATAATGGTAGTTATGTTTTAAGGTTTTGATGGAGAGTAACCAAAAGAAGTTCTGTGATAGATATTGGTGATGATGAATCAAAAATTGTGTGGATGCAGTGAAGAAGTTCTGGTTATGGGGTAATTTGTGTGTTCCTAAGAAGTGATTGTAGCTAAAGACTGATGTCTTTAAAATGAAGTATTCTGTATATTGTTAACATAAACCTGGCATATTTTAAAAATATGTTTTTAGATGATGTTTTTTCTTTTGTGGTGCAGGTTTGACACCAGCATTGGTCCACTAGTGTACTCTGACCAGTATTTACAGATCTCTACCAGACTTCCCAGTGAATATATTTATGGTTTTGGGGAACACATTCATAAGAGATTTCGTCATGATTTATATTGGAAAACATGGCCAATTTTTACTCGAGACCAACTTCCTGGTGACGTAAGAAACTATATTTCTTGTTATAAACGAAATTGTTATATTGTATCAGATTATAATTTTAGCCTATCTGAAGCTATCATTTATTTGAAATTATTAATTAAACTGTTTGAATGCCAGTGATACCTAATTTAGAGACTGATTTACTTTAAGAGTAAGAATTGATAGCTAGGTTCTAAATTAACTCAGTGACAGATTTTAGGAATGTCTTAGCAGCCATTTCCAATTTATAAATGTTTTATTTTGAAATTCATTTCCATATTTTATTGTTTATTTTTCAATCATCTCTGTACTTACATCTACCAATGGCTAGCCATTGTACTAGAATAATTCCAAAACTTACTATGTTTTGCATGTTTTCACATTATAAGGTATCTGCCTATTTACTGAATATTATCTCATGCATCTCTGCCCTTCCTTCTGCTTCATAATATGTGATAATCGTCCATAACTTAAAATCTTTGTTCAAATAGTTTGTTTTCTTGGTAAGTACTGAACATTGAGGACTTTTATTATATATGGAATACATCCTTGAATTCTCCTCTGTAGTTTCACCTTGTAGGAATTTCTCCCAAACTCTCCCATGAGAAATGAATCTCTACCATTTAACCTTTTATTTGTATTTTAGTATGACAATCATTGCAGTATATTATTCTTGTTTACATTTGTTTCTTCAAGAATATGCAATTTTTTTAGAACAAAGATCACACCATTTAAAATTTTTATTTAATTTTTTAAATTTCATTTTAAAGATGTGGGGTACAATTTGGAATTAGGTACATAAGTAGTCATCATACAGGTGAAATTTTGGGCTCCCTTTGTTATCCACTTCACCTGGTTTGAGGTCAGCTACCCTTATAGAGGTTCTCTGCTCCTCCCTTCCCTCCCCTGACACTGTCCCGCTATGGTCAATCACTTTCTTATAGTATTATGATAAATGTCCAGGGTCCATTTATGAATGCGAATATGTGGTATTTAGTTCTTTGTTTCTGTGATAGATTGCTAAGTATGATAGACTCTAAATTCATCCAAGTTGCTGCAAAGTCCATACTTTTATCCTTCTTTATGGCTGAGTAGTATTCTTCCATGTATATGTATCACAATTTTTTTATCCAGTCCACTTTTGATGGGCAGCACGATTAGTACCACATTTTTGCTATTTTGAATAGTGCTGTAATAAACATACATGCGCAGGTATTTTTTTCTGTAGAATGATTTGAGTTCCTCCAGGTATATTCCGGGTATATGGGCCACATGAAAGGTCAATTTTTAGATCATTTAGAAATGACCACACTGTTTTCCAAGGAGGTGGTACTAGTATACACTCCCACCAACATTGTAGAGGCATTCCTTTTTCCTTGCATCCTCTCCAGCATCTGTTTCTAAGTTTCTTATGGTTTGAGGTTTTATGTTTAGGTCTTTGATTTATTTATAATTGATATTTGTGTATGGTGAAAGGTAGGGATCCTGTTTCACTCTTCTGCATGTGGCCAGCCAGCTTTCCCAGCACTATTTATTGAATAGGCTCTCCTCTCCCCAGTGGCTGTTGCTGGAGGTTTTGTTGAAGATGAGTTGGTTGAGAAATTGAGGTTTTGATTCTGAAAGCTCTATCCTGTTCCATTAGTCTATAAGCCTGTTCTTGTAACAATATCAGGCTGTTTTGATTATTGTAGGCTTATAATAGAGTTTAAAATCTGGAAGTGTGATACTTCCCACTGTTTCTTTTGCTGAGGATTGTTTTGGCTATTTGTGGAACTTTAAGTCTCCATATAAATTCCTATATTGTTGTTTACAGGTCTGAGAAGAATGATGTTGGTAAATTAATGGGTATTGCATTGCATTTGTAGATGGCCTTGAGTGGGGTGAACATATTAACAATGTTGATTCTTCCAATTGATGAGCATGGAATATTTTTCCATTTATTTATGTCATCCTGGATTTCTTTGAATAGTGTTTTGTAGTTCTCTTATGAAGGTCTTTTATATCTTTGTTTAGGACTATGCCGGGGTATTTCATTTATTTTCTGTGGCTATTGTGACTGGGATTGTGCTTTTTATTTGGTTCTCTGCCTGTTGTTGGTGTATAAAAATTTGATTGTCTTTTGCACAATGATTTTGTATCCTGAGACTTTGCCAAAGTCTTATGAGTGCAAGGAGGTTTTTGACAGATTCTCTTGGGTTTTTAAGGTATAGGATTATATTGTTAGAAAAGAGGGATGACTTAACATCCTCTTTTTCTTTTTGGATACCCCTAATATCCTTCTTTTGTCTGATTGCTCTTACTAGGACTTCTAGCTCTATGTTGAACAGGAGGGGTGAGAGTGGGCAGCTTTGTCTTATTCTGGGTTTCAGAAGAAATGCTTCCAATTTCTGTCTGTTTAGGAATATGCTAGCTGTGGGTTTATTGTAGATGGCTCTTACTATTTTGAGGTATGTTCCCTCTATGCCTAGGTGTTCAAAGGTTTTCATAAAGAAGGATTTTGCCAGATTTTGTCAAAAGCTTTGTCTGTATCTAATGATGTAATCATGTGGCTCTTGTTTTTACATCTGTTTATGTAGTGAATTATATTTATGGTCTTGCAGATGTTGAACCAGCCCTCTATCCTAGGGATGAAGTCTGTAGGTCATGTTGAATAATTTTTGAGATGTGTTGTTAGATCTGATTTGCTAGGATCTTATTGAGAATTTTTACATCTATGTTCATCAGGAATATTGGCCCGCAGTTCTCTTTCTCTGTTGGGTCTTTACCTGCGCTGGATATCAGTGTGATGCTAGCTTCATTAAATGTTTTGGGGAGAGTTCCATCTTTGTCAATTGCCTGGAATACTTCCAATTCGATTGGTATCTGCTCCTCCTTGTATGTTTTGTAGAATTGTACTAGACAACTGTCTGGTCCAGGGTTTTTTTTTTTTCTTTGTAGGTAGTTTTCTTATGACCTAGTTAATTTACTCAGTGTTATTGGTCTATTCAGGGTCTCAATTTCTTCTTCTTCCAACCTTGGGAGGCTGTGTGATGTCAGAAAGTCCTCCATTTTATTTAGGATTTGGAGTTTGGTTCCATACAGATGTACATAGTAATTTCTGATAATCTTTTGTATTTCTTCAGGGTCAGTTGTGACTTGATCTTTTGTGTTTGTGTTTTTTGCGCTTGCTATCTCTTTTTCTTAGTCAGTCTGGCTAGGGGTCCATCAATCTTCTTTATCCTTTTAAAGAACCAACTTTTTGTTTCATTTATTTTTTTTTGTATGATATTTTTGTCATCTATGTTCCATATTTGAGCTTTTACTTTGGTGATCTGGATTCTTCTGCTGAAGTTAGGGTTTGGGTAGTCTTGCCTTTCCAGCTCCCTTAGGTAGTTTATTAAGCTTGTGATCTTTTTATTTTCTTAATGTTTGTGCATAGAGTTATAAATTCCCCCTCCTAGAACTGCTTTCATGGTATCTCAAAGGTTTTGGTAAGATGTGTCTTTGTTTTCATGTGTTTCCAGGAATCTTTAGTTTCTGTTTTGATTTCTGTGTTGACCCAGAAGTTGTTCAGCATTGTTTAGTATCCATGTCTTTGTGTATTGGGGAAAACATGTTGGTGGTGATATTTATTTTTATTCCACTCTGGTCTGAGAAGTTATATGGTAATACTTCCATTTTATGAAATGTATTTATGGTTGATTTATGTCCAAGGATATGGTTGACCTAGGAGTGCATTCCATAGAGTGATGAGTAGAATGTAAGTCTGTGGTTGTTGGATTGAGTGTTCCTTAAGTATCTATTTTTTTTAGACATGTTTTTTATTTTAAAATTGTGGGGTACAGCTAAGGGTTAGGTATACAAATATGTATTGTGCAGGTACCCTTGTTGATGAGGTGTGCCCCCCCGTCTCCAGACAGATATTGACTACTGTTAATTCCACCTCTTTTCCCCTCCCTGCCCCCTCTCATAGTTTCCTGCCACTGTCAATCTTTTCTTATAGTATTATGATAGTTGTTTAAGGTCCGCTTATGAGTGAGAACATGTGATACTCATATCTTTGTTTCTGTGAGAGATCACTCCGCATTATAAACTCTAATTCCATCCAGGTTGCTGTGAAATTCAGGATTTTGTTCTTTTTTATTACTATGTAATATTTCTTTGTGTACTTGTTCCACATTTTTTAAATCCAGTACTCTTTTGATGGACAGCATGGTTGGTTCCATGATCTTGCTATTGTGAACAATGCTGCAATAAACACATTGGTGGATGTATCTTTTTTATAGAGTGATTTGAGTTCTTTGGGGTATATTCCCAGTAGGGGGATTGTGGGGTCATATGAAAGGTAGATTTTTACAGCTTTTAGGAATCACCACACTGATTTCCACAGAGGCTGTACTGGTTTACACTCCCACCAACAGTGTAGAAGTCTTCCCTTTTCACCACATCCTCTCCAGCATCAGGGTTGTTTTAATTTGCAACTCCTTGATGACTAGAGAGGTTGAACATTTCTTCATGTATCTGTTGGCCACTCGTATGTCTTCTTTTGAGAAGTGTCTGTTCATATCTTTTGTAATGGGGTTGTTTGTTTTTTTCTTTTCAGCATGTTTGAGTTCTTTGTATATTCTAGATGTTAGGCCTTTGTCAGACATGGAGTTGGCAAATACTTTTTCCCAGTCTGTGGGCTGTCTCCTTGGTCTCTTGATGGTATCTTTGGCTTTTAAGAAGCTTGTCAGTTTAATGAGGTCCCACACATCTATCTTATCTCTTATGGCCTGTGCATTTCAGGTTTTGCTCAGGAATTGGATCCCAGTTCCAACTTCCATAGAGTGTGTCCTGTATGTACTAAAGTTCTTATGGTTTGAGGTTTTACATTTAGGTCTCTGATACATTTAGAGTTGAATTTTGTGTTTGGGGAGAGATAGGGATATTGTTTGAATCTTCTGCACGTGGTCAGCCAGTTTTCCTAGCACTATTTACTGAATATGTTTTCCTCTCCCCAGTGGTGGCTGGTGGAGGCTTTGTCGAAGATGAGTTGGTTG